AAATAAAATTGAATCGGACCATTTCTAGATCGGGAGAGATGGCAACCAAATATTTTTTATAACGAATGGTCTTATAAGGCTAGTACATGTTCCATCACATACTTTGTGATGCAAATTGTTTTAATCTCTGGCACTATTTTGAAAAAAGAACATAGGATTTTCGGAAAGGGGGGGGGGGGGTAGTCTTTCGATGATAGACATAGCATATGCAATGGACCTTTGTTTGCAAACATTGTGATTGCTTCTAAATTTCAAAGAAACAACTCAATATATTTTATCAAGCTTCATATGTTCAATGAGCGAGAGCTATATCAACATAATGAGACATGATGCGTTTTTATGTCCAAACATTTGTCCATACAATGTGTTGGTCATTGCAAACACTCAAGCTATTTATGTGAGGTGCCTGAAGGAAATACTTAAACTGCCTATTTTTTCTATCCAACTGCTAAACAAAATAGACATATGAACCAACTTTTCGAATGTAAGACATGTAATTGCAATTTGTTTTTCAGGCACCGCATATTGTTTAACATTTTCAAATTAAATGCTAAGCATCCTCCTTGCAGTGCCCCATTTCAAAATAACTTCTTTCGCCACAGTAAACTCATATGTTTAGGGCATTTTTTAGCTTTTTTCTTGAGTTTTAAAGGAACCAACAAATTATCAAGACTTGAAAAATTATATAATCATGGTAATAAACGCATCTATTCACAGCAGATATATGCACATGTCAAACACGTGCTCGGTGTAATAATATAGGGGTTAAAATCTTTTTTCATTAATCAGACGAAGCGATATCTAAAGGTGTTTGCCATAAACACATGGCCTATATGAAAAATCAAATTTTCAAGAAATTTAGAACCTGGTAACATTCAAACTAACACCATTTTCAATGCATTTTTCATCTCGTGCCCTTTAATAATTTCCTGGCCATCATGCATTATTATTTATAATTTTGCCAATTTCTTGCAATTTGATGTTGCTATATGTTCTTGGCATTTCTTATTTCACACCAGTCAAGATCCAATTGGCTTGTACATCCCCCTTACCTGCTGTTCATACATAAATGTACAAACTGCATGAACTACAGATATGGTTTAAATTCAAGAGAGGAGCTAAATGGGGATGTTGATCCCACTCCAAAAACAGCACTCTGTTTTTAGATATCTTTAAAATGAAAGGAATTTAGTTGTTTCAACTTTTTCATCATACATGTATGTACTTTTACTGAATTCATTTCCTTGTAGAATTAGGCCATATCTAAATTGGCTTTCCCAATGCTTCACTGTACAACAAAGAATTAGGATATGTGCATTTTTTAACATTAACTCGATAATTAAGAAACATTATCATTAAAAGAAAATGTTACTGTAGTTTCTTAAATTTATGCATGAACTTAATTATTTCGAAATTTCACGAGAAGCACCACACACAAATTAAATTACTGGTCTTTATCTTTTGGTGCTGAAATTAATTTACGTAAAATTTCTTGATCAACTGTCGATTGCAAATTATAATTCTTGCGATTTGATGTTGAAGAGCCCATTCGCCATAATAAGAACTCACAAAAAATAAGGAATCTACAGTAATACTGTCCCATATATTTCCAATGTATTACTTTGATTGTTAAGTGTAGCCACACCACCCTTCTCCCTGGAGGTCAAGATTTAAATCTTGAATCTACATACTTTAATCTACGTTACCTGGGGATGCATCCATACAACCTACAGGGAAATTTTCATCCCCATTTTATTTTTGCACCTTTCCCCCTACCCTGAGTTGGGCGAATTTAAAATGTAGCGAATTCAAAGAATAAAGCACAATTTCTTCAAAAGAACTGCGACTGGACAAATTAAGACCATGTATATATATGCAGGCAGAATTGTTTTGCAAACTTGTGTAAAAAGGCAACAATTTCACCGCCGAAATATGGCTGAAATATTGCCGATCCGGCGTTAAACAATAACAATCAATCATCTATGGTTAATACAATGACCTTGTCAGCAAATACAATTTATCATTGAGTCAAATGCTGACTGATGTTTTTCATACTAATTGTTAGTCCATTATTTATACACTGAATTGATGAAGGATTTTCCCGTTAATTCCTGATCATGACAAGGAGCACACAGTGGGTGTGACCAGTCAGCAGGGGATGCTCACTCCTCAATTGCACCTGATCCCACCTCTGATATTTCGGAGGTCCGTCATTGCTCTGCTAGCTCCTATTTTATAATGTTTTATGTACTTTGATATTGAAAACTGTTCGTTATCTCCATATCCTTCATTAAGAAATAAAAATGTGCAAATTTTACAAAGAGATGGACAGACAGATGTGGAATACAAATCTTATCACAAAAGCCCACTTGAGCCTTCAGCTCAGATGAGCTTAAAAATGTCAAAATATACTTGGTGCAAGCTTACATCCTGTACAACCTGTGCATGATAAATGAACAAGCTATAAAACAAACTTACAACCTGTAGTCTTGTACAAAATATACTAACAGACTTATTCAAAGAAGTTATGTCTTCCAGAGTAATCCAGATTATAAAACAAATTATCTCACCCACATTATGCTTTCATTGATTCTCATTAAGAACTTTTCGAAAATCGTCTGCAACATCCACCAGCTTACAGCCACTTGGGGTCATGACCTCCAGACTGCTCCCAGAATCCTCTTTCACGGTTTCTTGACTTTCCTTCTTTTCAGATTCCACTCTTGGTAACTTGAGATATAACTGATGTCTTCCAATCTCTGGCCCACATTCACCTGATTGTTTTTCTTTTAAATTCTCTTTCTGTTTCAGTGGACTCTGAAGTGGTTCTAGCTTAAAAGGTTTTTTCATTGTCAGGTTCCTGTTTTCTATTCTTGAGCAATCTTTCAGGTATGAATCGTTGACTTCTACATTATCAGTATTCTTGAGCAATCCTTCATCGAGTGTTTCTTGAGGATTTTGTTGATTTACATGTAAAACTGAGAAAGTTTCAAAGTTTGTATCATTAAATGGTTTTATTTTACCATTTTCACTGCTGTCAGTATCATTTACTGATTGTAGATTTTTAGAACATGTTGCTAAGTCTTGGTCTTTGTTTCTTGGACATTTTGTTGCAATGTTGCAGCTCATTTCAAGTCCTGAGTCAGCAGCTGCTGTAGAAGCAATGGACACTTTGGAGACTGTTACGTCTCTTTTCTCGGATTTAGTTGTTTTCCGGACCTCTGGTTGAGAACTGCTGCGCTTCTGCAGACTTGGATGAATCTCTTCCGACTTCTTTGCAGAGATTGGGTGAGAAATTGAAAAAGGATCCAGCTCATTACTAGAGTCATAATCACTTGTTTCATACTCAAATCCTTGGAGATTTCCCTGTGATCCCAGAACATCACACTTTCGGCCACGGATCTTAATATCATCATAATCTGACTCTTCATCTGAACCAGTCTGGATATGAACACCTTGAGAAGTAGCAAAGAGAACAGGAACTTGGAAACCTGAGTTATGTACAAATGCTTCTTTCATCTTCTCCTCTTTTCCTTGTTTCTTATCATCAGTGTATTTCAGTTCTAACTTTTCATGACGTGGAGGGTTCTCTACTTTAATCTCCAAGTCCACAATTAGATTAGATTTTCTACATAAAATTATATTTTTAAATAGTTGCCAAAGTTCTTTTTTGCAAAAAAGTGCCAAAATTGGCAAGATGATAACAAAACCAAATCTGAACCATACCAAACTAACATCAACAGTGTAACTGTTTGGTATTTCAAAACTACTGTTAATGTTTAAATCTTCACTATAACGGAACATTCGAATTAACTGTGAACTTATATAAGGTACTTCCAAAATTATCCACAGGAACAACAGAATTCCGGTGTATTTTGCTCCTTTAAGTTCCCTTAGTAACTTGGGTTCTGACTCTTCCTTGGAATATTGGTTTTGGCTTCTTTTCGCATGCTCAGAACATGTAACTTTCATTGCAAGGGAAAAGAAAATAATTGATACACTGATGGGAATAAAAAAGCACACTAGTGTTATGATAAGAGTATAAATGATTGAGACATTGTTTGCCATCATGCAGAGTTTTACATTTTCATGAACATCAACTTCTATTGAACCAAACAACAAAGGGACACTAAAAGCAACAGAATGTACCCAAGTGTATATAAGCATAATGATGAATCGTGGTATACTCTGAAATTGTTCGTATTTATCACTATGTCGAGTGGCCATCATCCGATCCAGTGTCATAAACATTAACCCAAGGATGGTTTCAACCCATGTGAGGTTCATAAAAAAGGAATTCAGACGACATAGAAAATCCTCACTGCTCCATGAAACTGATCCAATCGCAGTTATCAAGGCAAAAGACATGTTAAATAGACAGTCTAAGCAATTCACAAATGCCAAATTGAGAGAGAATAACTGTAAAGCGGACGTGCGCTGTCTTTTACTGCATCCAATTGTTACAATAAGGACAACATTGCCCAATAATCCCACCACCATGAAAATAACCAAAAACACCAGTTTTGCTGTACTTTCCTCCGCCGGAGAATTCGTCCCAGTTGATGTTCCATTTTCCAATGAACTAGAATTACTGGCAGCCATCACCCATGCAGATATCGATTAACCATTTAAGGAATTTCCAGCCATTTCCAAAAGATATTAATCCCACTCAATGTTTGACGGATAAGTCTTTGTTTAATTCTTGATAGATGTTCTCTCTGAACGCACTCTATTTTGCAGGACATGTTGGTTCGCGTGTAGTACCTGCTTACACACTTGGCCTATTTCGGTTGTTGACATTAGTGCCGGAAATACGTCACAATTTTAACTAATATGGTAGTTCGTACTTTTATTAGGTAGGTTACATTATACAAACATTATGCATATTTGTACGAAATAAGATGATCTTTTGCTTTCTTTAGAAATCAAGATATTATTTTTATCTTTAAAAGCTTTTATTGTTTTAGAAATAAATATCGAATATACTAAGTAGGAGTTAATGCGAACCGAGTACCCCGGTTTTTGTTGCGAATAGCATGATTTCCCGAGAAGTGGTTGTATATTGCTATGAATTACCTTCCAGGAACAGCTAGCTTAGTAGAAGAAATAGATAGTATGTTATCATACATTATTGGTTGTAAAGATTGCTAACGACTGACAAATATTCATTCTGACAGCATACAGTGTTGGGGGGGGGGGGCACAGGGGCTTGCTCCCGGCGTGTAATAATTATTTATTTTTTAAAAAATAATTTACAGTTATAATAAAACAACTCAAGGGAGGACGCCATTTTGGACCCCTTCCTCGCTTCAACCTCTGTTTTTTGTTAGATTTTCCCGTTTTTTATTGACTCATCGCCTCAGATCTTCTTCTAAGGCCTTATGCTTGAATTTTCCAGTTGGAGCCTCTACAATACACATTTCAGATTAAAAATAATCCAAACGCGCTTATTACGGCAGTTTGATATAAAAATTGTAAAAAAAAAAAAAAATACAACATGATGCTAATTAAAATCTTAAAAATAATTTGTATATATTTACAATTTAAGAAAAGGATAAAAAAAATTATATGGGGGAAAAATTGTCTTTAATACCTTAATAGGCATATTGTAGAGGGCCCTGGTGACCGCGGCCTAATGCCACCTCGGCCAATTGACATCTCTGTTCATTTTCATTTTTAGTTCACCTGAGCCTTCAATCACATTTCGTCCGGCATCTGTCTGTAAACTTTTCACATTTTTGAATTCTTAAAAACCCCAGAGCCAATTTCAACCAAACTTGCAATGAAGTATCCTTAGGTGAACCCATATGAACCCATTCAATTTTGTTCAAATGAAGGACCATGCCCTTTTTCAAAGAGAGATAATTAAGGACAGATGATACAAACAAATTTTTTCTTTGAAAAAGATTTAATATCATGTCACAAGTTTAGAAAAGTGGATGGTTCTTAGAATTTTTTCTCCTAGGAACTGGAAAATGATAAAGACTCCGAAAATATTAGTAATATTTCAATAAAAAAACAAATGTAGACAAATCACATTCAGTAAAGGTTTACAGGTGAAAACAAATTTCAGAATATGTTAGCATGGTGCTAAAAGTGTAATATAAACTTAAGAAAAATGTAACAAGCCAATTTTATTAGGAAAGGCTAAATGGTAAAAATCAGCCTATGTGATATTGCTAACTTTTTGTCATTTTGTTCTTCCTCACAAAATTCACCTGGTTAAAGTTTATATTACAATTTTAGCACCAAAGTATCATATTCTGAAATTTGTTTTCACCTGTAAACCTTTACTGAGTATGATTTGTTTATATATATATTTTTTTTATTGAAATATTACTAATATTTTCCAAGTCTTTCTAAGAACCATCTGCTTTTCTAAACTTGTGACATGATATTAAATCTTTTTCAAAGAAAAATTAGTTTGTATCATTTGTCCTTAAGAATTAGTGAGAAAATAATGGCATCTTTTAAAAATCTTCTTCTCAAGAACCACTGGCCCATAAAGGATGAAACATATATGGAAGCATCCTGAGGTAGTGTAGATCGATTCATGTTTGTTCAAATCATGACCCCCAGGGGTAGGGCAGGTTTGTTCAAGTCATGACCCTGGGGGGTATAATGGGGGATCAAAGTTTTATATAGGAATATATAGGGAAAAAATCTTTTTTTCATGAACAAAAAAGCCATGATTAGTCATATTGATGTGGACAGGAGGCATCCTCAGGTAGTATAAAATCAAATTTGTTCAAATAAGGGTTCCCGACTCCGAGGATAGGTCTAGGCCACAATAGGGGTCAAATGTTTTCAAATGAATAAATAGAAAAAAGTCTTTTGCTCAAAAAAAGCAAAGCCATTTTCATATTGATATGGAAGCATCATCAGGTAGTTTAAAATTCATGTCCCCCCTTTGTAAACTTTTCAATACTGAACTGATTTTTGCTTTTTTTTCCTAGCCAATATGCTCAGGTGAGTGATGTGGCAGATGGGCCTCTCGTTAAAATATGTTGGCATATTGTAGAGGGCCTTGTGGACAAATGGGGGGTTTATTGGATGAAAATTTTTACACATTATCCTACATGTTATACATTTGTTTTTCCCCACTATACTTCTCAGCTCGTCAGTTAGGAAATGAAATTTTAAATTCTGCACTATACATGTAGATAAAAACATACATGTTTATGGATATATCATATGATAATGGGTCCAATCATATTCATTGTTTTGCAACACAGACACCATATTTATTATTTAAAGCATGCTTTTTTTTCTGTTCACAAAGCTTGCTCTTCAAATGGTAGGGAATTATTCCAACATGTGTACCAGTAACATAAGGAAATCCAAAATCGCGAATTCGTGATAAAACCAACATTAAGTACATATGTATTTGTAGTTCCAGTTTTGGTAACAAACATTTTTATATACCTTTGACTAATTTTGACACATTTTTGTCAATTCTTGAAATCCTAGTAATTCCATACAAAGTAAAGCAGTTTTAACATGCTGAGAACACAATCATGCACATAGGAGTAGTCCATTGGATTTTAATTTCTCTCCCTAAACACATTCTCTTTCTCCATAAGATTTCTTGCATATACAACCACAATATACTAAATATTGTGGTTGTATATGTAGGTTCTTCCTAAGACATAGATTATTTTTTCTTAATATTATGACATAACTTGGGAATATGCTAAGACAAGATAAGTTAAACAGATAAGTAATGAACTTTAGAAAAAGTTCTTTCCTAAGATATAACTTAGTCCTCAAGTACTGGTAAAAAGAAATTAAACATAAAAGCTTATTGACAAACTAAATGTCTTTAATATTATTAACTTTTATTTTTGTGTAGAGAAACTTCTTGTTGTACTAAGAGATGGAAGAACACTGATTGGTTATCTCAGAAGTATTGACCAATTTGGTAAGTCAAAACCTTATTCAGTTCTGTCATAAAAATTATTGACTTTCTTTTATTTATTTTTGAAAGAATATTGATGATTAATTATTTTGTCTAAATGTAATAGTGTAAAGACACATTTGTGCACTTGTTCTTCAAATAGTTTAAAGTACTGATTTTTTTTTCTAGGGATAGGTGACATTCTACATGTATCAAATAGTCATGAAACTCATACACTTCGCTATTTTTCATCCTGTTTTATCAATGTAATGTCTTTAATTTTTACAGCAAATTTAGTCCTTCATCGCACCATTGAAAGAATTCATGTTGGTAAAAAGTATGGAGATATTCCAAGAGGCATTTTTGTTGTGAGGGGAGAAAATGTTGTGTTGCTTGGTGAAATT